TAAAGTTTTCATTCATTCATGTCAATTTTTTGATTATTGAACTGTGGTCTGTATCCCTCTGATAGGGTGCCGTTATTCTCTCTAAAAGTGACGACAAGTTTCTATTGACCTGTGTCATTGGGCAAGTGAGTCACTTGACAAATTCTCCAAANTTTGTATTTAGTAGGCACCGTCCTTAATACTCGGAAAAGAAGACAGAAATATCTGATAGGGATGAACAGAAATACGAGTCGTATGATTTCATACCAAGTTATATGTTATACCAAGTTGTATAAACAACTACTATAAATGTTTATTTTAAAGGGCAATGATATAGGTACTGAAATTTCCTAATAAAACTCGTATTGAAAGAGAAGCTAATGGCTCAGCGGCTCTCAAGCGGCTACTGGATTATAAATAATGAATATTCATGCTCATTAACAAACTGATTACAGGTGAACTTACTGTATTGATTAGCCCCGCTTTAAGCTTATAAACATCGACAAATTGTCAATAATACACATCTGGAATCTTTATAGCTGCCATCTAGTGTCTAACGACAACCCAAGACGACAATATAAGGTTTGAAACTATTTTGTAAAGCTGAACGTCCAACGAAAAAGTAATTTGAATGCAGACTTTTCTTCCCCTTTCTCCTTACTTCCATTTTCAGAAAGTAAGTTCACGGGTTAATTCTATACTACGTGGGTTGGCTGAAACATGTTTTAACGAGACATGCGATGGCTATGTGCTACCACCTCCAAGAATTCTGGAACAATTTAACAACATTTAAGCAAAGGAAAGCAATGAAGATACAGACGAAATCATCAGACAGTTGTCTATTTAACAATTAGACCCGTAGCCCGCAAGGGCTACGGGTCAATAGCCCATGAGGCGAAGCCGAATGGGCTATTGACCCGTGGACCTTGAGGGCGAAGGGTCTAATTGTTTTAGTATCACCCAACTAGTCGGACACAAAAGGCAATAATAAAGTTAGCAAATGCAAGTTGACAAAATATTTGTTTGGGAATATATAAAACGAAAGAAAGCGTCACGCTCGATTGCGCCAGTTTCGCTACTCGAGGACTATTACTAATAGTCCTCTACCAGCGTAGCCAATTAAAATGCAGGATTTGCATTAGTCCACTAGTTGGGTGATACTAACAATGAATAGCCTTTTCCAACCTCGATTCCTTTGAGTAGAAACCTGTACTTTTTAGAAGTAATCCACGTAAACTAGTAATCTTTAAATATCGATAGCTTTCAGTTCGAATTTCTCAGGGAGGAAATTATTCTAAATGGGAGTAGAACCTGTGCCATTTAGCCTGGGTAACAACAACGTGTTCTAATCAATCACTTAGATATTGGAAGGTCGTATCACTAGATTCAGAAAGAACTAACTAGTTTACAAATACGACAACTCGTACCGCTTTTCCTTTTTGGGGTTTTAGTTTTATAACCACTTGCAAACAGAATTATCCATTCCGCAATCTACCAATACTTTTTTTATACAAATGAATATTCGAAAGATCATGTATTTGAACTGCAGAGAAAGATATGAGGACATGATCCAACTGAGCTATCAAGCCATCTGGAAGCTGGTCAGTATGTGAGTTTGTAATATACCCGTAGATGATTAAGAATGCAAATGAATATACGATAGTTCAGTTGGTAGAGCACTGCACCGGTATCGCAGAGGTCATGGCCGGGTTCGAATCCCGTTCAGGCCTGAATTTTTTCAGGCTTTAATTTCACAACTGCTTAGCTTCAGTTGTGTGCATAACTGCGATGATCAATCTTGTCTTCATAAATATTTTTTTATAGTATATATGTTAAGTGTTTTTTTAAATATGAATATTAATTTTAGCGCTCAAAAGCGACTAATGGGTTAAAACACGAATATTACAAGTATTGACAAACAGGTTACAGGTGAATTTCACGCATTGATTAACCCTACATTCAAGTTGTTTATTATCGGCATATTATTGACAATAGACAGGAATCTTCTCTGCTTGAGGACAACTGAGGACTTCAATACAAGGTTTGAAACTAGTCTGCGTTATAAAACTGACAGTAGAGAGCAAAAGCGAAGAAGTTATTTGCGATGCACATATGTATTTTGCCTCCGTTTCACTGCGTCCTTTCTCAGAGTATTTGTCATAAGCCAATTTAATGGGAAGTGGAGTAACGTAAAATTCACAGAAACACTCTAGGTATAGTTGACACCGACAATAATTGCAAGAAAAGAAAAGGAAAATACTAAAAAAAAAACTCGGTTATTTTTCCTTGTTTAAAACCGAAGAATTTTATTTCCAAAGGTATATTTGCAAATACCACTGTATAATAGTTTGTGATTTTTGTAAGTTATACCGATCAACTAGAAACTTAAAATGAAGAAAGTTTATCTGAGTTTTAGATTACTCAGCAAAGAAACATTTCGACTCCCCGAGTTCCTAACGGAATCATAACCTTGGGTGACTGTTGGATGTTCTAATTAACCACCACGATATACTGATAGGATCTCTCCATGGCGAGCAGCTTCGTGCAAACATGTTCTACCAAGCTGCTAGGTTCGATTACGTCTTAAACTTAGCAATCCGGCTTAACATTGACTTAATCGAAGCTGCCATTCCTCTTCCATAAGTTAATCTTCAATTTGGCTTTAAAAACAAAATTTGCTTGTAATCGTCCCCTACAGGTATAAGGCATGAAGATAGAAAAGATTTTATAAACTCTTGTTTTTAGGTCATCGTAGCTTCAGATTAAGAATATAACACAAACAGCGGTGATAAACATGGCATTCTAACGAATTTTAATCATTCGGCTTTAACTGTAAAGAAAAAATTCCTACGCCCACAACAATCACTCGATCGGTTCAAAAACGCTGGTAAACCTAGAAAAGTGGTTTCTCCGCCGAACAGTACAGTTTCGTCTCCAAATGTGAAATCAGAACGGAAAAATAAAGATAAACATTTGTTTTACGGCTTTGCTTCTTTGTAAATTTGCCCTGATTACCCAAAATGCACCTTAGAGCGTGAACTCCTCTATTCTGATGGAATGTTTTTGCCGGTGTTTTTGAAACCTTTTCGACCTTTTTCCTCCGACGTTTTCCTCTGTGGTGCTTTCTCCGACGACACATCTAAGTTTATATCAAAAATCTACAGACAGAGAACACTCCGAAGAGCTCGTCGACTTTCAAACACAAACGTTTGACAATCGTACATACGGTGGCAATCTGTCATGCAACCTTTTAATGGCAAGTGTACTTCTCGTGACAACCTGTTGACAACTGTCAATTAGAGGTAATTAACGCAAAAAAACGTTTTTCGTTTATACCTTTGCCTAGAATCAATCTTTTTTCATAGAAATTTTTTAAATAAAAGATTGCAACAAGATCTATCTGAAAAAGCGAAAGACAGTTTTTTTGAAAAATGGTAAAGTTTGGGGTATACTGATACCTTAATCAATTGATGAGAAATGAAATTGACTCTTGTCCAACTTACTAGACCTTAGTGTGCAAATACTGCATAACATGCATTGTTTCTTTCAGTCTTTATTGCGGTTTTGAAATCGTAAACAAAACTGCGAGGATCATTTTTCTACTTGATAAGATATCTCTCTGTCATTACACGTGCTGTGATTGGTCAATTTAGCAGGTCTTATTCGACTGCACTGCCCGCTAAAATATGGCGCAGTCTGCCAAGTTGTTTGCGAAATTTTCGTAGAAGTCTGGGTCAAAGTGAGCTATGATTGGTTGACTGGCTTGTAATTTACTTATGTCACCTACAGCAACGTAAGCACAGCACAAGCATAAGAAGAACGAAACATTATACGCGAAGACTTTCGCAATGCTTTTTTCCAATTATTACTTTCTTTTCCAAAACTGATCAAAAAATTAAAACCAATATAAATCATTACGTATGTAGCAGAAGTTTCATTTCGTTTGTCTTTAACACAGTGCCAGTTTTCCGACCAATTGTTTTCTTTCGTTACTTATGAACCACACGCGTCAGTTCAAAATATGCGGCTGTCAATCGTACGCAGTTTAAAACAGCAACATTTAATAAAACCGCTTAGGTTCTGTACACAAAACCAGTGACAATACATAAAATTATCAACAGGATCAGAAAGGTCGCTCTTATAGCTTTGATGAACAGAAAATAAAGCACACCCAAAAGAAAACATCCGAACAAAATCCTGAGGTTGATACATGAAAGACTGAACGAAGACTTCCTTTGGGCTTCGAATGGTTTACTTGCTGTAATATAATCGCGGGAATTAAAACAACTTTGGTCGTTGTTCTAAAAAACACGGTAAGAAAGTAAATATTGATATTTTTTCCGAATAGGATACTGAAAACTAAGAACAAAATGTTGTCGCAATTTTGCGCTTTGCGCTGGCAAATATAATCATTGCCTACAAATGTAATGGTGGGTATAGACTGATTTAGCTGCTACTAAGATAAAGTGGAATATATATTTTTTTTCAAGGCTAGATACAGATGTAACTGAGAGATGTGTCCGTGTCCGGGAAGTTAAAGATCTCTGGATTAAAAAACGACAGGTCCAAGTAACGTTGGTTGCTGAAAAAACTAATGAAATCTACTGAGGACAGGTTTTTTTGGCTGAAATTGTCTTCTTTCACCAATTGTGTCTACTCAAAATAGAATTCCCCCAAAAAATAATCATAATATTAATAAATTGGATAATTGAAATCCGGAGAGCTCTCGAACGGATGAAAGGGTTTGACCCAAACAAAATATTAATGAAATCTAGTGATTGTCATATATTTATTTTACGTGTCTTGGTCCTCGCAATTCATCACAACTCATGGCCACCCGAGGACTACGAGAGTACCCTACTACAAGGTCAATTCTATCTCTGACCAATTTTTAATTAACTATCCTCTTCGTATTTTTCTACACTAAAATATTTTTAATTGGTTCTTTCCGTTGATTTCAGTATATTAGAAAAATCCTGGTAATTGCTTCAACACAGTGCTGCAGGTGTATCAGTGTAACAGTCAGAAATCCTAAACTTGTACAATGCGTCGTTTATCACACAAGCTAGTCTGTTGAATGAGAAACACTGTAATTTCAAATTAATTTTCAATTTTTTACGCTTCTGTATCTTGAAGACCAATATCATCAACGCTAGAATGACTAAAACTTCTAATTTGATAAGGTTTTTCAATCCTTCCCGAATAATTATGACACGAAAAACGTTAATTTGTTTTCTTCTTTAATATAGCTCCCGCAAAAGCGTTAAAGTTTTCATTCATTCATGTCAATTTTTTGATTATTGAACTGTGGTCTGTATCCCTCTGATAGGGTGCCGTTATTCTCTCTAAAAGTGACGACAAGTTTCTATTGACCTGTGTCATTGGGCAAGTGAGTCACTTGACAAATTCTCCAAATAGTGACTGACAACTAATTTTCCCCCACGTGGTGGCTCAAAATTCAATTAAATAGGTTCAAGCTAGGCACATGTGACTATTGATTCCACTTGGCGTGTTCGATGTCAAGGTTCATCTGTTATTATACAAAACAGCCGCTATTTTTCATTGAGCTGAAAGCTTCCTGAGAGCTTCCTAAAATAATATATATATAAAGAAGAATCAATAAGTCGAGTTGGTGCGTCGCTTGTAGCTTGGGATTGTACCGTTTGTACAGTGGGTACGCAATGCTCATGTGTAAGGCAAGAAACTGTTGGAGTCAGGTGACTTCTGACGTCATGAACTAAGGATATGGCTTATTTCTCAAACTTACATTAATAGAATAATATGGGGATCAGTAGGGTGAGTGGGAAAGGAAGGTTGTAAAAAAAATCACAAATTTCCTCCAACATTTTAGAGAATGCTGGTACAACATATGTAGGCGACTACATGTCAGCAATAATAACAAAGCGAGTGAAATGGTCAGTATTCCACGGCCTCACGTTTGTAGTGTCAGCAAGCGAAAGAAAGATTCCATGCATGATACGTAAAATCCTGGTAACTAACTGGCCTTCTTTGCAGGGAATGCCTGTGGTGTCCAGTCTTCTTTTCCTACTTTCCATCCATACCGCTGACTTCTGCCAAGTTATAAAGCCTATCAAACAGCATGAGCTCATTGGTCACGTGATGAAAGCGATGCAAGAGACCAGTTTTGAGATATGCACCTATCGCTGTGAACTTGACGTCAAATGTTACAGCGTTAATTTCCACACAAAGACTGGGAGATGTGAATTCAACTACGGAAGTAAGGAAATGTTTCCTCAAGATTTCAAGGAGAGCCGAGACACGCTGTACATCCACAACATCAGGAAAGACATGAAAGATCCATGCAGGCTGCTGTACTGTCTGCATGGCGGCTCATGCTACCCGCTGCCGCAGCCATACTGTGTGTGTACTGTGGACTTCACAGGATCAAGATGCCAAAACATAAGTAAGTTGAAACTTTGTTTCGTGCTCTTATCTTTCCCAAAACCTCAGCTTGGAAGGTGAGAGCCTATTATTAGTGTCGAACAAAAATTATTCACAGCCAACTCAAACGCAAAGGGAGGATCATGAACTTTTGCAAACTAAGTAGGTACTTTTTTATTCAAAGCAAAAAATGTACTGCTTTCCTTAGTACTCTTTCTCTCCAGCTCTGCCGTTGGAAGCAAAAAACAACAACAAAACGCCTGCATAAAAGAATCAATTATCAAATTTTATTCACAGCCCACTTAAATTCATACTAAGGGAGGAACATTGACTTTGCAATTGAGTTAGTTCTGGAAACACTTTAAAATGGACTGCCTCCTCGATCCTCTTTGTCTCTAGCTCTGCCACTGAAAGCAGTAGGAATAGAAGACGATAACAAGATATTCGACGGTCAGCTGACCTCCAGCACCTCACCAGTCGGGCACGAGGCATGGAGGGGCCGACTTCACGGTCCGGGGAGCTGGAAACCAGTGACAGGAGACTTGGCACCCAATTTTAACATCAGCTTGTTTTCACCGGTGAATGTAACTTATATTGCGACACAGGGATCCCCGACGGAAGACTGCTGGACAACGACATTCAGGATATATTATAAGATGCAGGGGGGATCGCTAAAACAATACCCAGAGGTATATATCATGGTGACTAGCCGTAAGTTTGTCACGTGACTGTCTCTTCTTGATTGCTATGTGAAGTCATTAGTTAAAGAGATTAGCAGTTTTTAACCTAACTGAGTGTCCAAAAAATGCGATCAATATAACAAATCAAGGCAAACTTTAAGAGCACAGCGAATCAATCCACACATACCCGCCTAGCGCCAAGTGGGGTTAAATGCGTGTGTCCTCCATCGTGGTTAGTTTTGGTCATACATGGACGTTTATCTCATTGGCTGGGTTGGTGACTCGAAGTTTTAAACCAACCACAGAACAGCCCAGCTCAATTCTTTAGTATCTTAGGAAGTTAATTGAAAACCGCTCTTAGAACAAAGTAAATCAGCGTCAATTGAGGGACGCAGAGGATCACGCATCGAAGAATAAAACTGCTTAGCTTGTCTGATGACAGATCTCTTGCTCAGGCAATGCTTGTACCAGAGGTCACTCTAAGCGTAAAAGAAAACTGATCGCAAAACTGATACTACGGTTCAGTACGGCACTACAGCAAACGGGCAAAATTTATTAACTAAATTAAAATTTCAACAGACAACTAGCAAAGCCCAGACTTCTTCAGGGTCTAGTACTATCTTTGTTGGACGTAAAAAGTGTAATTTTCACTGTACTCATTAATTTTCCTCTCCTTTCTTGCTTTTCCAGATCATCGCAGGCAACACAGACAGAGATACGGTGATTTATCACCCCCTTAAACCGGCACTTGTCCAAATCGAATTTTTAAGTATTCAACCATACTCTTCCAACAGATGCATCGGTCTTAGAGTGGAGTTATATGAATGACATTTTCAACTTGAAACGGCAAACGAAAGCTGCCTTCACATTCATGATTCAGGCACCTTTCACGTTGCTTTATAATCGGGTGAAGCAGCAAAGTTCCCTTCAACATTTCCGTTGCAAAGATATGAGACAATTAATTCGTGCTTTTAGTTTTACATCATAGAGTCATGATCGATGTACCTTGAAGGAAAGGAGAGCACTCTAACAACTCTTGGGCCTAGTTCACACTAGCGACATAACGACCTAAGAAGCACGTTACGCTGTTATGATTGCAGTGTGAACATTCTTACTTAATGATATAAAAGCAACAGAACACCACGAACTTAACGACATAAAAAAATCGATCTTTTTCCTAAGTCTCTATGTCGATGTTCACTTTAACGACATGGTTATGTCGTTTATGTCGGTATGTCGCTGGTCTGAACTAAGCCTTTCTCTTCTTTCGTTCTCTCCAGGCCTCCCGCGAGCATCATACACGTGACTCGATGAAGGACACTAGCTTCAGTTAATCACTTGTTAATTACTCCACAAAAAGAAAACGTATATCGAAGCGATCTGTCTAGCCGTGATTGTTTACATCTCATCTCCCATTTAGTAACATTTTTCAGTAAGGAGAAAAGCAATGATATAACTAGAAATAACACGCAATTTATTTCCCGAGATTTACTCATTGTACCGAGTTAAAATTGAACTGCTGCAAGGCTGTGTGGCTATAGGATTGGTTATCTCTCCTTACATTTCTTTGAAACTTGATAAACTCCGATTTAACACTGAAAAACGTGAACTATCATTAGCTTTTGGGCTTTTCGCATGCCTGTGCTGGGGACATCTTTCTCTTAACAGTTTTATTTACAGAGTGGTGCCACAGTCATCAGTTAATAAATTAATTAATTCTAAGTTTCATGGACGAAAAAAGGCCATCGTAAACAAAAATCGCCTTCAGGAATACACCGGCATTAGTAAGTGAACGTTCATACTACCGTTCACGCTACTCAGTGTTCACCACCGTTTCACCCCAGCTTCGATATTTTTTCTCAGCACTTATGCAATAGATGCACGCTTGCCACAGAGCGGTAAAGAGCCGTTTTCACTATTACTAGCATACCTTCCCTACCCGCAGTTCAGGTATATTAGGGACCGTTCATTTTTTATGAGGGAGGGGGGGCTGGTGGGATTTGGGAAGCACCATTTAAAAAT